CTCTCACTTTCACAGGGAGAGTCTGTGCTGCACATTTTGAACCAGGACCAGTCAGTGCCTCATTCACCAGTGGCAGTATTTTAATGAAATAAAGATGGGTACTGCCCTTGAAATACGAGTTTTCTGGTCCCATTGTTTAAAAAAAAAGATAAAAAACAACTTGATGTTTACTTCCTTGCATTTGAATGTTTTCTTTGTAGCCTAGACGTTCATGATTTCTGTCTGATGCAGGGGTTCTCAAACTTACTAAGGGCTGTGGCTCTGTTTTTGACTTTTTCTTGAGTCAAGTAAATATTTGTCGACTCCATTTTGGCCAAATCCTTCTTCTAATTTGTATATGTTATCTTTGACTATATAAAACAACATGATACACAAGACAACATGCCGTATGTGTCTAATAATGTTTAGTATTTGTTCCTGAGTCAAACACATGCTGCTCTGTCTGTCCGTCACAAATCACAGGATCATTCACGGTGACAGCCCGAGTACTTCCAGCTTCGACATGTTTTAACTGATTTACAATGCTCTTGGAAATCAGGGTGAACATTTGAACCAAATGTCACATTCTTGTAAACACAATTAGTTTTATTGTTATTTCTCTTTCAGGAAAAAACACACAACCACATACTGACGGCACAAGCAGGTGCGTGCATGGGCTGTGGACGTCTTTCCTAATGGGAAAAGTCAAAACCCACTGTCAGCAAGAAAGCACGTGAAAGGGCTTCCTTCCTACAGCTCTTTCCCGTCCGTGAGCTCCGCCAAAAGTCCACCCTTCTAAGTCTGAGCCCAGATCACTGAGAAGCAGCACCAGGGGGCAGCAGGGATGGCTAACAATAGGATTTACTGAGTCACACGTCGCATTCTGGACTGCTAGAAATGTTTGCTATAGTGTATTATCTGACAACATGAGCTCGATGTGATACTGGCAGACAATATGATCTGACACTCTTTTCATGCCCCTCAAAAACTTCATGCTATTAGGCGTTAAAACATTCATACATTTCACTAAATCAAACATAAAGTTTTCTTTGGCCAAGACCCGATTCACATGCCACATATAAAAAACTCTACTCCATTTTACTGGTACTTTCACATTTAAAAGCTGAGACACACTTTGGTGAAAGAGATATATTAAAATAAGAACATTTAATATGAAATTGTATTATATAATATGCAACATTATACCCATTCATCTATCATTCATGCATCATTTTGTCATCTCGTCTTTGCAATAACGCTCAGACAAATCAATCATTTTGGATGTATATGGGATGTGCATGATGAATTGGGGAATACGGTCATCCTACACTAGCCCTTAAACTGATAGTGAAATATGAATTGTGAATAATAAATGTTTACTAGTGCAGCCACCGAAGAATTGTGGGCTGGAGAGAAAAAATAGGCCTTAAAACCTTCTCGTATTTCACCAGTTTATGTTGACACAGTTGGTCGCCAGCGAGTATTTCGTTAGCTGTGTGTTGCGTTGTTGTCTTCCCGGACTGCTCTGCTGGCCCGGGACCCAAGTCGGCCCTGGTTCTGAGGATCTCCGCAGCCTCCCGTGGTGCGAGAGGAAGCCTACGTGGGTGGACGGGTCAAGACCACGACTCTCAGCGGAATAACAGTTGTGAGTAAAAAGGGGCGATAAAAACGGCTGCTAGAATAGTGTTGTTTCAAAGATTATGGCCCGACATGAAGGCGGTTAGTGCGTTCACCTGCAGAGGTCACAACGCCTTCAGCTACTTTCATCAACGGTCATGCATTATGAATGGGAGTCATCAATTATTCAGAACGTAATAATCTGTCGTAATGAGAACATGCGTGAGTCAGTTTGTTACAATCATATCACACACTGACTGGGTTTATTTATGGTGCAAAGAGAAAAAGAGGGTGCAGTTTTTGCGCTTAATATTTCTATGTGAACAAATCTGGCTGCTCCAATCTTAAGGGATGCCAATCACTTTTGCAAACACACAAACTATTGCTAGAAATATCCTTAAATGCATCTGCTTGTGATTGATACCTTATATATAGGCTTAACAAATTTGACAAATTCGTAAGAAAATGTTGATGCTATGCTCTATAGGGCGTGGCAATAAGACAACCTAAATAGAGCCACATTTTTAATTGTTTGGTTAAAAGATTAATATACATTTAAAGCTGGGGTACCTAACTTTGAAACCACAAAAATAACTATGTAACAAATGCCATGCAATTAGTACCTGACTCTAAAATAAGTTTGTTTTTATCACTAGCTTTCACATGCATGTATTTGTCCTGTGCAGCATTTTAAATTATATTCTTTAGATGGAAAAGCTGAAAAGAAGATCACCGTTGCTCATCCAATCAGCTCTCAGTATAAAAAAGTTGACATTTTAAGAACAAATCAGACTCTTTCTTTTGATAAAACAAAAAAAGAGCCGGGTTGTGCGTTCCTAAAAGTCATTTAATGGTCAAGTAAAATAATTCAAAAGTGAAAGTAAACAATAATTGAAAATAAGTCTACAGATTACAAATACTGCAATCCTTCACACACAATCACACGCGCACACACACACGCACATATCCATGACCTCTAACATCGACCTGCCAACACCGCACACCATTATGGGCTCCCTTCCCTACAGCAACTCATTTTTATTAACCTTTTTGAGACATTTAGCTCCTTTTTATGAGAAATGCATTATTTATGTAACGACATGCATAATTCATAACGCAATAACTGCTTTTAACTTTGTAAATGGGCGCAGGCGTGGAGCACCTTGTAAACCGCGACGCGGGAAAATTACCATTCTTTTGTATTCATCTAAATTGCCCCTCGGCTTTTTTGTTAAACCATCAACCTATGGCATGTGTACGGCGCATTGAAGCTAAAATGCTAATGCACTACTACGGAGATATTCGGCAGAGGTAAGAGCTGATAATTGAGTGTAAGTGTATTCCAGCATGGGCGTTTTAAGCTAACTGACAACTAGCGCTTTGAAATGACTGATTAGCTAACAGGTATCATTAGCCAAATACAGATGGCAGGCACTTTTTTCCCTCCCCCTCCCGTACAACTGTATTTTCCCGTGATCGCAAGTGTAATTACGGACACATTTCTCATTGGGTAAGCCATCTGCTGCTGTCGGAACAGAGCGCCACCATTCATCCTCGCCGAAATGACCGTGCAGGAGAACGCAGAGGGAAAAATTAAACGTTGACAAAGGATACTCGAGCTAGCGAGTTTTTTACACTGCGTCGAGTTAAATTTTAAGTTTTGTTTAAAAAAAAAGAGACTATAGCCAAAATTTTGGGGAGTCAGTCGGGAAAATGCTTTGAAAATGGCCGAATAATCGAAAGTACTTTTTGAGATTGTGTTGGACAGGTTTTTTTATTGTGCTTCTGTAATGTTTGATGTTGATGTAAATGTATTTCTGTTACCTGTATTTGCTTTTCTTTCTTTTAAATTGAATTGTCCAATCAGAACAGTGTTGTTTGAATACGTCTGAGATTTTTTTATGTCAATTTGCTAAATTATATAAGGTAAATAAATATGCGTCATAGAATTAAAAAAAAAAAATCTTGAATCTATGAGTACACAAACTAAGACCATGAGAGCAATCAAACCAAGTTAATTTCAACAGCCCAAAATTACAGCGATCTCAAAACACTTTACATAATAGTATATTCTACAGTAACAGATTAACCACAGTACACAGGTAACTGGATGAATATACCGAAGCATTTCCCTGGCTAAAAAAAAAAAAAAAAAGAAGAGAATCTTAGAGAAGGAGATCTACTCACATGGACACACAGATGTCGATGAGTCCAGGACTATGGTGTATATATTTATATACAGCAAAGGACTATTTAACACAATGCTAATACACATACAATAATACGGCTATGCTAGAAAGTCCAAACTGTACCAATTGTCGGTGGAATAAATCTTGTGCAATGTGGTCTATACCTAGAACTTTTCTGCCATTAACTATTAACTGCTTGCAAATTATTGGATACATTTTCATCCTTTTTATATACATGGAACATAGAAGCTGTGTCAAAATGATTTATACCAACCAAATGTTCACTATGTGTTTGACAAGAGTTTATATTATTGCCTACAACGACAACATCACAATACTCGTTAGCCGTTAAAAAGTTTTATAGTTAGACTTAAAAAAACACATCTTGATCTGCATTGTAGCGTCTATCTTTTAAAACATTGTGGTCAACGATTCTGTTGCTGACAAAATGAATCTATGTACTCTCTGCTTTTTATATCTTACAAAATCCCATACAAATACTCATCCAGAAACACAAAGAAAGTTTACAAAGGGATAGCAGCTATATACAATTATCAAATCAGTATTACATGGGAAACTGTCCTTTATACAGCTATAGTAATACATTGTTAAATAAAAATGAGAACAATAAGGAACTTAATGTCAACTAAATGTGGCATCTCAAAGGGAAGGAAGAAACTGGCCACCACGCATTTGACAGTGTCAGTGTGGGAACTAGGGCAAGACTATAGTACCACAAGTCATCTCCACGTTGATCTATATAACTGTTTATACCGCACTACTTGAGAATGCAATGAATAAAAGTTGCAGTTAGGTTAAACATTATTTTTTTTTAGGATTTGAAAGAATATTTCCGTGTTCTACTTTTTTAAACAAAAACTTTTTTGTTGGATGTGTGTGTTTCCATATGCACACCGAGACCTGAGATTTAAAAAAATTATCACCATTTTTAAAACAATAATTGTGAAATCTGAATCATTGAAGGAATTAATAACTCACAAAAGACGTCAGATACAACCTTGAGAAATCTAATTAAAAAGTGTTTCCGCTTTACAACATTTCAGCTCAAAATATACAAGCTATTGATTACTCAAATATTCAGTAATTCTCAACAGCAAAGTTGAACACATTTGCACATTAGTATATCCATTATGAATCAGTAAAGCCATCTTAAAATGAAAAATAATTGATGATTGACAATAAGACTAATCTTACCTTTATACGAGAGCTTAAGCCTGGGGATATTGTTCTTATTTTGAGCTGCAAAGCCATCCGTCCTGAGTACCGCAAGTCCACCCAGGAGCAGGACAACGCAATCCCAGAAAGAGCTCATGATTTGGGGCGATAGCGTCCAGACGAGCCCCTCACAACCTCCTGATTCAACAATTAGCAGTTTTGAGATCAGCAATTGTCTGATCTTCCCAGAATCTTAATTTTCTTTTAAATAAAAATCCGATGTAAACCAAATAAATCCAGACTTGTTCTTGCTTTCACCTGTCTTTCAATGGAGATTGATCAAAAACCGAAGATATAGGCAATCTCCAAAGGGTTCAATGGAACTTTCTGCTGAAGATACCTCCAGTCTGTTCAGTCTTCCAAAATTCTAACTCAATTTGACTACCAAAGGCTTGCATGTCAACGCCTCTTTCGGTTAAAATAAGGTTTTGGGACAGGTGTGAGGCTAAAGTGCTATCTAAGCGACTCTGTCCACTTTCCACTCTTGTTGTTCTAGCTGTCCCCTCCGGTCCGTCCACTCAGCAGCACTCTCCGAAGCCACTGCGCTTTACGATCTGCTCCTCTCCAACTCCCAGCGCAAACTGACAAGAGAAGCCGGGAGCAGGCGGCTGGGAGAGTCACACGCTGGGGGAAAGGGAGGAGGGGGTAGGAGGTAGGAAGTGTGTGGGAGAGAGAGAGATTGTGTGTGTTTGTGTGTGTGTGTGTGTGTGTGTGTAGGAGGAGGAGGAGGAATTGTGGAGAAAAAGGAAAAGTGTGATTGACGAGGAAGTAGTGCAAGTCGGAGATTGTGGAGGTTGTTTGGTAAAGGAGGTTGAAATTTAGATAGAGAAAATTAATTGGAAAGAGATGCCAGATTATAATGTTTTATTGTTAGAAAAACCTTTCTGATTCAGCTACAAGTTGGACAAGAGACTCAATAACGACGATTGTATACAGGTGAAACTCAGGCGTGTCTGTCATATGTTAGGCAAAAAAGTCAGAGTATTGAATGAGTAAAATTGACTAATTTTCAGTGCAAATAGAAAACTTCCAAACATGATAATACCTTACAAGTAGGGCAACGTATTTCCGATATTACAGTTAGACAAAAGGTTTATATGAACAGTGATACTTCTGAACTTTTTTCAGGATGTTTCTTCAATCAGTGCAGTCAATCCAATCTTGACAACCATCACTTTAAAAAGCAAGTCAAAGAAAGTTCTTGAATTGTTGGTCCTTGAATAAGGAACATTATACAAATCAAACATCTCTAATCATAATTTCGTGGCAAGCTTTTAATTTGATTTCATGAAAGGAATCCTTGCTTCAAAGGGAATTGCCAATCTGTAAAAAGTCCCTTTTCAGAGCCACAGAAGTTGCAAAAAACTCAATTAAAACCAACTTACAGCTTTGGCCCAACATGAACCAGACCGAAATGCTGAACTAAAAAAGTAATTCATTTCAAACTGTTGTTACTGAACAGCCCAACGTTTTTTTCTCAGGACCTGACTTGGACCATATGTAATGTAGCCATTACATAAATTAGATAAAATGTATGTACTAAAATATTCAGAATGACAACAGTTATGAGTTTGATATAGGAGATTTAGCACATTTTGCGATGAACCAGATTAAACCTGATAAAAATGTTGATACTTTGCTTGAAGAAGCTTGTCAGACCACTAATAAAGAATATTTGCAAGGAATACAGCATGCAAGACTCTTCTTATGCCATGCCATTTGTCTTTTTAATTGTGCTTGTCATCTGATCTCATCTCCCTCTTCTCAGTTCCCTTTGAGTGAAAATACCATGTCACTTTCTCAGGTAAGTCCCAACCTACTTGAATTCTAATAAAGGGATTTTTCTTCAGATTTCTTCGAATGCTGGGTTTTCTAAAGTGTCTTCACGGTGCGCTTATCAAAAAAAAAGCTTATGGATAGGAATTTATGCCTACAGGACCTACAGAAGCCTAACGGAAAGGAATGTTTCTTCAAAGATTTCATAAATAAAAATAGTAAATAACACGTTTTGCCGTGCCATGTTTAGTCAGCCAATCATTTATTTCATTAACTACAACTTGGTGCCTAGATATAATCCAATTCTGATCTGCTGACTATGGTGGAGTTGCAGTGAAACAATGGCGTCTCTCTTAAGTCTCTGTATGACCCTGAGTCCACGTGCTGTCCTCCACGCTCCTTGGCCACAGGCAGATGTTCACAGAAACCACCTCCTCAGGACTTCCAGCCGAGTCAGATGGATTATGAGGCCCAGTGGTGCCTGCACTTCAGACAGTATGTAACATCCTGAACCAAAGCAACCTCTATCAGCTCCTGGACATCAGTCTGTCTGCCCCCGGCGCCACCGCGTCACGTGGCAGCTGACTAGATTGTTCTGAAAACTTGTAAGTGCATGTGACAGGTTACAGTTATGTACAGTATGTGTTGTGTTATGTTGTTCTTGTTGGCTCCTCGCAAATATTGATCGTGATAGTTTTATATCATCCATCCATCCATCCATTTTCTACCCTTTAATCCATATCTGGGTCAGGGGGGTGACAATCAGAGATGCCACCCAAGTCTCATAGCACCAGCCCCTCACTGACCCTCTGCAGGTGGTGAGTCCACAGGAGGGCGGCTGCTCTCTGAGTGTGAGCATAGCATTGATCTTTCAAGTTTTATATCAGTTTGTGGAAAACCTTGACAAAATGTACAGGCAGAAATGGGATCCCTTAACCCAACGTCTGACTGTCAGATGCTCAAATGTATTCCAAAACTATTGTACAATCCAGTGAGACTCAAAGTGGTGTTGGGGGCCTCCTAGATGGCCTCAGTGCAGGCCTCAAAAACAAGCAATTGAGACTATTAAAATATGTTGTTTTATATACTGACTAGAGCTAGGAAGTATGATCACATTAGTCCAGTACTCAGGTCTCTGCACTGGCTTCCTGTGGCTCAGAGAATAGACTTTAAAACAGCTCTGCTTGTGTACAAGTCTCTGCATGGCTTCGCATCAAAATATTAGTGGCATATTAGTGCCATATAATGATAATAATAATAATACATTTTATTTAAAAGCGCCTTTCAAAACACCCAAGGACACACACTGTACAGGACATAAAAAACATTAAAAACAGGATCAACAGAATAAAACAGTAGTGCAATATGGGATGGTGGGTGCGTGTGTGTAAGTGGGTAAGTGGGTAAGTGTGTGGGGTAGGACAGTCTGAACAGATGGGTTTTGAGTCTGGATTTGAAGAGTGGAAGAGAACCATATGAACCGGCCCAGACTCTGAGGAGCATAGGGTCGGGACTCCCGTTAGTGCCCAGAGTCCGCAGCCTCCCAATGTGGGGAGGCTGCATTTCAGATTCAAGCAGCTAAAATCTAGAAAAATGTTCATAAAGTATGAGACAGGCCTCCTCTCTGACAATGTTTAAAACCAGGTTAAAGACAGTTCTGTTTAGCTGTGCATAAAACTGAGGGATTTTATATTTGTATCTTTCTTTTTAATGTTCTGTGATTATTTATGATGTTAATGTTTTCTTATTTGGTTCAGCACTTTGAGTTGCCTTGTGTATGAATTGTGCTATACAAATAAACTTGCCTTGCCTTACTGTTCATATATTTTTATATGTATACTTTCCCGATTGAATTCAAAAGAAAAAAAGTACTGCTGTGTTTCAGACTTACCGCTGGTGAGACCTCTGTTCTCTTAAACATTCAGGTCCCTCAGTTGAGAAGTAAGGTGTTGCTTGTATTCATATGCTTTTATAGTATCAAGATTTTGATTTGACCCAAAATATAAAATAAAGTTGATGCTATCCTTGGTAAATGCAAAATCTGTAGCATTTAGATATGGAAACCCAAGCGCTTGTACAAAGCTGTTTCTCTAATGATCATAAAAGTCTCATCCAACATCTTAGATATCCATCACAGCAGAAGACGGGAGTTGCGTTTGACTCAAGTTTCCAAATGTCTTTTACGGCTTGACAAGTGTTCACCTTACACCCCTTTCTCTCTTAAAACAACAGCCCATTGAAATGCCTCTAAACTTATACCTACTTTTTTCAATTCACAGATTATTCAACATTCACATCATTTTGAAAGCCCTATCGCTCTCATCCGAATGTCGAAATGTTTTACCCCGAACTGCTCAAACGTCAGCTCCATCTCAAGCTGTAAAAACAACAGGCGTGACGTGCTTCATGAACTCTTGCCAAAAACATTACAAGGCTGAATTAGGAAACATAAAGCCTTTACTTGAGTGTTTATAGAGATTAATTGGGACCTCAGCAGCTCCTCCATCATCGTCTAATGGGGGAATAGTACATCTTTGGACTGGGCCAAATGAGATGTCAGTCCTGGGCTCCGAACACAGATTCTCAGCACTGCGGACTCTATGGTGCTGAATGATAATGACTTGACTATAGGTCTGTCTAAAGAGCCATTAGACAGTGGGAGGAGAGCAGAACTAATCCCGTCCTGAGCGCATGGGGGCCCCGCGCTGTGTATGCTAATGTAGGGTCCACTCCAACATGGCCGTTTTAGTATACAGCTATTTATCCATATTAGGTGATGGAGCAAGGAAAAAGGTTCAAAACAGATGCAAACAAAAGAAGAAGTGTTTGAACATGCACTAAACCATACCAACGTGACAATAGAGCTTGGTTTAAAACACATGTAATTCATAGAAAAACTAGAAGAAAGATTGACAATTACAAAAACTTGATTATTTGATTTGGCATTTGAAGTGTTTGCAGCAGATGTAACAGAACAGAGCGAGTTTCGAGGGGGAGGGAGTGAGTTTGTCACGAAAATAAAACAAAAAAACAAACCTTTGACCTTTGAGAGACTTTGAAGGTATCATAAATATCATAACTTGTTCATACTCCTTGGTCTTTTCAGTATGGTCTACTACAACAGAGTGGAGCAGAACCACGGACCAGAGCTGGTCCATGGTTCTGCCCCACTCTGTTGTCTTGGAAGGACCTCTATACCCTTCAACGGGTACTCAAGGGAACCGGAGAAAGTATTCAACCTTATTCCTCGGGATGGTCTTGGGGGGTTCTCTGAGAGTATAGGGTTCTATTGACCATTGGTTCTATTCACTGTTTTTATGG